ATTTGGGGTTTGGGACCACAACCGAGCCCCCCATCCCAGTATTTGGGGTTTGGGACCACAACCGAGCCCCCCATCCCAGTATTTGGGGTTTTGGACCATGGCTGAGCTCCTCCCATCCCCCCATTTGGGGTTTGGGGCATCCTGACCGATTCCGCACTGTCCCACAGGTGGTGCGGCGGCACATCCTGGGCTCCATCGTGCAGAGTGAGCGGAGCTACGTGGACTCCCTGAAGCGGATCCTGCAGGTGGGATCCCCGCTCGGGCTCCTCGGGGGTGTCTCCATGGATCCCGGGGCGCTGACGCTCCGGCGCTCCCGCAGGATTACAGGAACCCACTGCTGGAGATGGAGCCGAAGGTGCTGAGCGCCAGGAAGTGCCAGGTGGTGTTTTTCCGGCTGAAGGAGATCCTGCAGTGCCACTCCATGTTCCAGATCGCCCTCGCCTCCCGCGTGGCCGAGTGGGACTCGGCCGAGAAGATTGGGGACCTCTTCGTGGCCTCGGTAGGAGGGGGTGGAGGAGGAGGCTCTTCCCAGAAGGATTGGTGGGGCCTCGGGAGGGGCTGCCCAGGGAGGGGCTGGGACCATGGAGTCCCCGTCCCTGCAGGGGTTCAGGATGAGCCTGGACGTGGCACTCGGTGCCATGGTCTGGGGGACAAGGCGGGCTTGGGTCACAGGTTGGACTCGATGATCTCAGAGGTCTTTCCAAACTCAGTGATTCTGTGAAATCCAGGAGAAATCCCCCCACTGTTGTGGGTGGGAGTGGAAGGCTTGGACCAGGTGATTTAAGAAGCCCTGCCCTGGAGTCCCAAGGTGCAGAAAGGCCCCCCCAGCTTCCTCAGCGCCTTCTCCGAGGGGATGAAGCTGGATCCCATCTTAGCCTCAGATTGTGTCACCAGTTTAAATGTGAGCAGTTAGAGAGGGGGGATTGAACCACTTCTGTCCTGCAGGTTTTCACTCTGGCAAACTGAGGATATTTATGTAAAATGAATTATTTATTATTGCAAATGATCAGACAAAATATCTCGATCAGAATTATTTACTGCACAATACAAAAGCTAAATCTACTAATGTAGGATAGGATAGAGCATGATAGTAAAGCAATTATTGGAGCAATTATATTAAAGCGAAAAGAAGTAATTATCAAGTAGAGGTTTGATGTAACTCACCTAGACCAATGTTTGTGGGGAGATTTCTTTCTCTCAACCTTGAGGATTGTCCCCACCCGAGGGAGGGATCTCCACACAACCACCCCAAGAAGGGTTATGCTGGAAAACCTCCTGTGTGAAAGTGGCCTGGGTTTTTATAGTAGAACAGTCTGCTGGTCACACATCTCCAGGGCACGGAGCAGCTTATCTGTCCAGTCCTGCTGCCAAGAGCAGGATGTGTTTGGGGTTTGGGGAACCAGGCTGGTTTTAACACAGCTCAACCCCAAAACCCCTCCTGGCAGCAGCAGGAGCTCAGCACAGCCCCCCTGGCTGGGAGCTGGTGGGGTTTGCATTCCCTGCCTGGATTCCAGGCCTGCTTAGGGTGGAACCTGCCCCAGCCACCACCAAACCCCCCCGGCCCTCCCAGCCACACCAGGGAGTGGGGGGAGGATTTAAGCGACGCAGCTCCAGCCCTGGGGTCCCACCAGCACCCTCAGCATCACCCCAAAAACATGCCAACCCCCCACTTCTGGGGGACTCCCACCCCATCCCGGTCTCCTGTGCTCTCCCAGTTCTCCAAGTCCATGGTGCTGGATGTCTACAGTGACTACGTCAACAACTTCACCTCGGCCATGTCCCTCATCAAGAAGGCCTGTCTCACCAAACCCGCCTTCCTCGACTTCCTCAAGGTCAGCACCACCCAAAGGTGGGCCCATGGTGCTGCTGGGCACCATTTGGGGTGAAAACTCCTTTTTTCCTGGCCTTTGTCCCCCCACAGAAGAGGCAGATGGCCAGTGCTGACCGGGTCACGCTCTACGGGCTGATGGTGAAGCCCATCCAGAGGTTCCCTCAGTTCATCCTTCTCCTGCAGGTATGGGAGGGAGGTACCTGCACCCACCTTGCTTTGCACCCCTGGGACGTGTCTTTGCACCCTTTTTTGGTGTGGGGCACGTTTCAGGGTTGGCAGCTTGGTTGCACCTTTGGGGACCATCCCAAGGACCGTCTTCTAAGCTTTGATTTTGGAGGTGCTTTTGAACAGGGCTGATTTTTCCGGGGTGGTTTTTTCGTCCCCCCCTCCTTTCTCTTCTCCAGGACATGCTGAAGAACACCCCCAAGGGCCACGCAGACCGTCTGTCCCTCCAACTGGCCCTCACTGAGCTGGAGACGTTGGCGGAGAAGCTCAACGAGCAGAAGCGCTTGGCCGACCAAGTGGCCGAGATCCAACAGCTCAGCAAGAGCATCAGCGACAGGAGCAGCCTCAACAAGGTGGGTCCTTCAGCCATGGGTGTGTTTTGGAGCTGGTGGTTGGGGTTTGAAGCTTCCACCTTCCTCTTGGTGTCAGGACTTTAATCAAAACCAAGTCTTGGCATTGGCGCAGGGAAATTCCGGGACGAGCTGCTGGGTCTCATCCCCCTGATTTTGCAACTGTTTGTGTCTAAAAAAAGAACCCAAAGTTCTTGCGACACATCCTGGGCTGGGGATGGCAAAAACCACGGCGGGGCAGCCTCTGGCTCGGCACTGGGATCAGGATTTGGATCTGGGGCATGAAGAGAGAAAGGTGGTTGGACACATGGGGTGCAGAGGGTGCAGCCTCGGAGCACGGTGCCCGTCCTGCTCCACGGAACTCGGGACTGTCCGTGCGCCCAGCTGGAGGAAAATCCTTGGAATAATGGAAAACTGACCCAAATTTTGGGTCAGGAGGCTTCCAGGAGCCCCCAGGCTGAGCCCCCTGCCCGCTCCATCCCCTTTGCAGCTGCTGAGCTCGGGGCAGAGGCAGCTCCTGCTCTGTGAGACGCTGACGGAGACGGTGTACGGGGACCGTGGGCAGCTCATCAAGTCCAAGGAGAGGAAGGTTTTCCTGCTCAACGACATGTTGGTCTGTGCCAACATCAACTTCAAGTACGTGCTGGTCCTCCCAGACCCCAAAATCACTTAGTGAAGTGCTGATATACCCAACCCACCCCGTCCCCACCTCAATGTTTGACTTGGTGGGATTTTTGGGGAACTACCACAAGGAGGGACAGAACCTTTAAAGGCCACCTCGTCTTGTTTTGGGGAGGAACCCACCTGGTTTGGGGTTTCTCTGCCCCATTCTTGGCACTGTTCATGCCAAGCCTTGGCATTCCTTGGTGCTGGAGTCAGTGCAGGGTCTGGGAACATGCTGGAACCTCAGGGCTTGGTAGAGATTGATGCTGCCAAGGGGAAAACCTTCCTTAAATTCCTCCTAAAACTTCTTTATTAATCCTTTTTCCCCTTTTCCAGGCCGGTGGACACAGGGTAGGTCCCAGCCATGGTCTGCTGTGCTTGTGTGCCCCAGGCTGGGGGTTCAGGCATGGACTGGTGCACGGGGTGGGCTCACAGATGGGGCTTGGCTTGCACGACTCGTGTTTCGGGGCGAGCTGAGGCACCTACTGTTCACTGACACCCGTTTTTCCCTCTCCCCTTGGCAGAGGCCAACTGGAAATCAGCAGCCTGGTGCCCCTGGGGCCCAAATACGTGCTGAAGTGGAGCACGGCCCTCCCGCAGGTGCAGGTGGTGGAGGTGGGGCAGGAGGGCGGCGCCTACGACAAGGACAACGTGGTCATCCACAACGCCGGCGCCCGCAGACACGCGCCCGCCGGGCAGGCCTCGCACAGTGAGGGCACATCCCGGGATCCCAGGCCGGGAGGGCTGGGGGGGCTGGGATGGAGCATTCCCTCACACCACGGCTACCTGGGGAGGTGATGGAGTCCCCGTCCCTGGAGGTCTTTAAAGAAGGACTGGGTGTGGCCCTTAGTGCTGTGGTGGTGTTGGGTCAAAGGTTGGACTTGATCTTGGAGATCTTTTCTGACCTAATTGTCTCTGGGATCCTCCATGGACCTCAATTCTCCATTTTTCCACATGAGAAGTCACACCATGGTCTGCCCTGGGGGTGGTGGAAACATCATCCCTGGAGGGCTTTAAGGAAGGACCACTCAGTGCCGCGGTCTGGTTGACATGGTGGTGTTGAGTCAAAGGTTGGACTCAGTCTGGGAGGTTTTTTCCAACCTTACTGATTCTGGGATCTTCTGTGGACCTCAATTCTCCCCTTTTGCTCCCCAGACAAAGTCTACCTGGGGCCACCACGGCTCTTCCAGGAGCTGCAGGACCTGCAGAAGGACCTGGCAGTGGTGGAGCAGATCACCCTCCTCATCAGCACCTTGCATGGCACCTACCAGGTACCTGTGCGGTCCCAGCACTGCCAGGGTGTGGTCTGGGGACAGCCAGCCTGGGGCACCTCCCAGCACCATGGGGCTCCTTGGCACCTCTCTGGGATCTCTGGGCACCTCTTTGGGATCGCTGGGCACCTCCTGGGGGATCGCTGGGCACCTCCTGGGGGATCGCTGGGCACCTCTTTGGGATCTCTGGGCACCTCTGTGGGGGTCGCTGGGGACACCTTGGGGACGCCTCCTCTGGAGCCCCACGGATGAAGTTTGGGGGTGGTTCAGGCTGGTTTTGGGGGCCCTTCCCCCATGTGTGACTGTCCCCCAGAACCTGAACATGACAGTGGCCCAGGACTGGTGCCTGGCACTGCAGAGGATGGTGAGGGTGAAGGAGGAGGAGATCCACTCTGCCAACAAGTGCCGCCTGCGGCTGCTGCTGCCCGGGAAGCCGGACAAGTGAGTGGGGGGTCCTGGGGCTCCTCCCACGAGTGTGGGGTCCTGGGGGCTCCTTGCACCCCGAGGGGCTGAAGACCCACCCGGGGGTCTGTGCCCGCACAGGTCCGGCCGCCCCATCAGCGTCATGGTCGTGTTCATCACCCCCAGCCCCCTGAGCAAGATCTCCTGGGTGAACCGCCTGCACCTGGCCAAGATAGGCCTCAGTGAGTCACCAGCATTCCTTGGAAAAGCCAGGCTTGGGAGTGGAGAGGGGTTGGCATCGCTCGGAGCATCCCAACCCAAACAGGGCGGGGTGGGGGGAAACTTTGGGAGTAAGGTGATGGAGAACATCTTGGAGATTTGCATGCTGGAAATGGTGGGAATGGGGAGTTCCAGCCCCAAATGCTTTGGGATTTGCTGCTCTCGGGTGGGATCTCCGGGCTGGAGTCACAAAGGGATGGATTTCTGTTGGCTCTCATGGCAGTGGTGTTGGGGCTGACCCATTTTCCATGCAATGGGATGAATGAGGAAGGGAGAAGCCTCCTGCCCCTTCCCAATCCCTATTCCTCTATAACTCCCTCAGACACTGCAGCAGCAAAAATAAGTTTAACGGAAGAAAATAAAAAGAATTTAAAATTCTGTTTGAGTGCTTAGATCCCCCTGGGCTGGAATAATTTATGAGTCTCTTGTTTTTTAACAGTTTGTGTTTTGTTTTCCCTTTTTTTTATCCTGGGGGATAATCCTGTATCCATGAGTTAGAAATGAAAACACATTAAAGCCTGATGTGAAGAAACACATCGGGGGTGTTTTTTTGCTCTTCTATATCTGATTTTTGGGACTTTTTTGCTGCTGCCGGAGGTGGTTCCTTGGCTGTGTGCTGCAATAATTGGGAGCACGGGGTGAGGTGTATCCCAAATCCATGGGTAATGGTGGTTTGGGGTTGGAGGTGAGAGCCCTGCACCTCCAGTTATAAATTCTGGGGTCTTCTTGGGGTCTTGGTGACCCTCGAGCTCCTTGTCTTTCCGCAGGGGAGGAGAACCAGCCGGGCTGGCTTTGTCCCGACGAAGACAAGAAGAGCAAAGCCCCGTTCTGGTGCCCCATCCTCTCCTGCCACATGCCAGCCTTCTCCTCCAAAGCCCTTGATCTGCAGGTGAGAGCCACGAGCAACCTCTTCTCCATCCCCCCTTCCCTTCCCATCCCTCATTCTGGGGAGGAAAGGCCGGGATCCCACAGTGGGGGGGCCAGACGGGGAGTCCCAAGACGGTCGCAAGGGCACAGAATGGTGCAGCCCACCCTGGAAAGCTGGGAATAGCAGCAGGGCTGTGGCTGGATCACGAATTTCAGGGTGTCCACTGCTATCTTACCTGTGTTGGGGTAATTTGGGTTCTCCATCACCCCTTTCCCTCCATCTTTCTGGGGGGGAAAGGCAGAAATCCCGCAGTGGACGGAGTGTCCCGAGTCGGTCGCGAGGGCAGAAATTGGTGCAGTCCCCTCTGGAATGCTGGAAATGCCAGCGGGGCTGTGGCTGGACCCCCGATGTTGGGGTGTCTGCCGCTGTCCTGCCCGTGCTGTAGCTAATTGTTGGGGCGCTGCTGCTGTCTGTTCCTCCAGGCTCGAGCCTGGCAGTGTCTCAACCCGTCAGTCCTCCCTGCTGGGTCTTCCTCCGCCGCTCACACGTCGCTGCAGGCAGGCTACCTCTGGGTGACCACCCCCAATGAACGGGGCCAAACCCCCTGGCTTTTGGGGCAGATCGTGTCCCCAACAGCCCCCCCGGGGGGTCGTGGCAGGCGTTGACCCGCTGTGTGTCCCCCAAGGTGGGGGTGGCCAGGAGTGGCCGTGGGGGGCAGTGGAGATCTTCTCCGTTGAAGCGCCGCGCCGTTGCGCGCGCGACCGTTCAAAGTCCTCCCGGTGGCTCCCGGTGCTGTGCACTTGATTACATCCCGGAGCCGCGAGAGGAGGGGGATGCCCCGGCTGCCAGAACCCCGAGCCGCGAGCAGCCCCCCCAGCCATCGCCTCATCAAACCGGTGCCTGTGGGGGATTCGATTTTCTTCCTGGTGTGCCGTCGCAGTGACGGCCAGGTGAGCCCCTCCCGCTGCCAGCCCGGCCCCGAGGGACAGCGCGGCCTCTGCAGCTGCCACCCCTTCCCTCCCCAGCATCCTGGTCTACGGGAGCGTGGACACGGGGACGCCGTGCCTGCTGAGCTGCAGGAGCCCAGGAATGCAGCCCATCCTGTGCCTGAGGCACAGCCCCGAGTTCCTGTTCGCGGGACTGCAGGACGGCTCCGTGGCCGCCTACCCCCGGAGCAACGGTGAGGAGCTTGTTTGGGGGAAACCTCCTAAAAACCCCCATGGAATGAGAAAGTTCTTTGTGGAATTGGGAGGTTCTCACACCAGCAAAATATGCTGGCCGCTGAAATAGTGATAAACCTCCATTTGTCATTTTTTTCCTCCCCAAAATTTCGCCCTTCCCCTCACAGCCCTGGGCAAGGAAAGGGTTTTTCACTGAAGGCAAGAGGGATTCGTTCTGGGGGGAGAACAGGTGGGAAATGATCCTGCTGAGGGGTTCAGAGGGCAGCAAAGGGTTTACTTGGGGGCTGCAGGAAGGGTCTGATGATGGGATGTGTGAGGATTTGGAACTTTTGCCTTCCAAAAATCACCTTTTTGGTGCTATAAATGGAGCTGGTCCCCTCCAACCCCCACTCACGCAGAGACTCTTTCCTTTAGCAGCTTGAGTTTGGGCTGGTTTGCCCTGGTTCTGGCTCAGGCTGAGCTTCCATCCCTCCCCAGCGACTGCTTGCCTGGGTAAATACCTTTTTTTCATCACTAGAGGGTAGGAAAGAGCCTCAAATAATGTGGAACTTGGCCTATTTTTGGACAAACCGCCTTGTTTTCTCCAAGAACCTGCAGGGAGCAGCACCCAAGTCAACCCAGAGCCACTAAACCCCCTTAAATTGCATTTTTGGGTGCTGCACGTCCCCTTTCCCAAATTACAGCAACCCTGGGAGCCAATTAAAGTCACTTTTAATTGAATTTTGATTGTGTAAATGCACAGTGATGGCAGCAAGCTCCTGGCAGGGCTGCAGGGTGAACTTTTTAATCTTATCCCTGTTTTTTTGGAAGGCAAAAGCTTCCCTGAAAGAGCTGAAATGAGGATTTGCTGAAAAAGGAATCAGTTGCAAACCCCTGCTGATGGGAGAAGAGGTTGGAGGATCCAAAGGGCTCTTTTATCCATCAGATCTTAGGGTCTGAGTTAAAAAAAAGCATTGGAAATAAAAAAAAAAAAGGAGAGTGATTATGTATTGAAGCTGGTGGTGGATTCATCCAAATCCACGTTGGATGCTGTTCACAGGGACGCTCCAGAATGGCCCTGGAGTGTCACTTGAAGAGCAAATAAATGGGAAAAAGGAGGATTTTTGGCTTTTCCAACAAGGAATGTGCCTGAGTGCTGCAGGTGGATAGTTGTTCCCTGCTCCAAAGCTGCACGGGAGCAGAGGGAATTTGGAGGGGTTGGAACAGGGGGGAATAACCCCCCTTTGGCCTTTGGATTGTGGAATTGGGATCCTTGGAGGTGTGAGGGGTCCCCAGTGACCCCAGCCCACATTCTGGGGGGGTTCAGCTCCACACAAAGCTGATTTTCCTGCTGCTCCCCCTGATCCCCTCCCTGTGCTCCAGGGGGGCTCTGGGACCCGGCAGTGCAGCCCACCCGCCTGCCCGTGGGCACCGGCCCCGTCCGTGCCCTGCTGACCCTGGAGGAGACCCTGTGGGCCAGCTGTGCCAACCAGGTCACTGTCCTTGATGCCACCACCCTCCGGGCCCAGGTAGGAGCATCCCCAGGATCCGGGATCTGCATCCCTTGGGAACTGTCAGAGCTCTGGGGCGGGGTTGGAGCCCCAGCTGATCCCCCTGCCCAGGCCCATCCCTGCCCTGCACTACCCAAACCAGCCTTTTCCTGCTGCTTTCCCTCATTTCTGGCTCCCTTCCCTCCCGTGTTGGATCACAGGAGGGAGGTGCTGAGCCCCCTCCTGCAGCTGCACAACCAGGGAATGCTGCAGAGTCGCTTTTTGCTTTAAAAACCCCCTTTTCTCCCACCTTCATTTCCACATTTAGTGCCCCAACTCGGTTTGCATGTATCAGCTGTCATAAATCCAGCCCGAGGGTGCTGATGGACATGAATTATGCATTGGGGACTGGATTCCTTTCCAGGCTCCCTCTTTATTTATGACAGGAGGGGATTTTTTTTTGCAGAAGAAGGGGAAAAAAAATAGGGGTGGGGGTTGCTATGGGGTGGTGTAAATAGTGCCGTGGAATAGGGTCTTGGTCTGGGAATAAACCAGCAGGGATTGGATCCCAGGGAGGGTGGGGAATATGGGGAGATCACCTGAAAATCTCTATTCACTCCTGTCTTGGGAAAGGTTTTTTGGGAGGTGTTTTGTGCCCCTTCTGTGGGAAGGGGATCAACCCCAGCTCCTCTTTTTTCACTGTAAAGTAAATTTTAAAGGCCAGGCTGCAGCAGGGATGGGTTTTCATGCCAAGAAGGTGCTTTTCCTGCAGTTTGCATCTCATGTCTGACAGGGAAATGCTCCAGTGGGGAGTTTGGGAAGCAGATGGCCCAATCCATGATTCCCAAGGATCCTGGGGCAGGGAGGCTGAGCCTCTCCTGGCTGGTTTTTGGGGTTGGAGGAAGCAGGAGGGTCTCACCCTGTATTGAAATGGATTTTGCAGATGCATTTGGTCTGGGAAGTGAGTCTTTCAGAGAAGGACAAAAACCCTGGAGGGGTGGGAAAGGCTGTGTTACCATCCCAAAAACCCCAGAGGGGTTTGCAGATGGGCTGGTTCCCGGGTGCTCTCCCAGAGCTGGAGCTGCTGAGGAGGGAAGGGAACTCAGGGTCACTCTGGCCCCTCCCTGTGCAGCTTTGGAGCCCCAAAGAAGCTCCTGGAGAGAGCCCAAGCTGCACTTTTGGGGAGCCCCCTTTTGATTTCCTTCTGGGCTTCCCCCCAGCAAACCTTCGAGGCCCACCCCGAGGCCGAGGCCAGCGTGACCCACATGGTGAAGGCGGGCAGTGGGGTCTGGATGGCCTTTGCCTCGGGCTCCTCCATCCGCCTCTTCCACACCGAGACCCTGGAGCACCTGCAGGAGATCAACGTCGCCACCAGGACCACCTTCGTGCTCCCAGGTGAGCCCTGAGCCCCCCTGGCTGCTCTGGCAGTGCCCTGGGGGCATTGCCCTGGCAACTCCTTGTTAAAGCAACAACTTGTTAAAATTTATTGTTATATTTAAAATGCCAAAGTCTGACTTTCCCCAAATCAGTCCCAATACTTATGACTTTTTAGAATTTTCAAATCTGTGTTTTCTTTCTGTGAAATGAACAAATTAATTTTGTGCTCTTTGGGGTTGGTTCCCTGCTCTCCAGAGGGACTGGGAAGGAACAGGGTGCTGGGTGAGGCTCTGGAGCTCTGGGCTCTGCTCACAGGCTGCAGAGGTTGAGCTGGTCTGTGCCCCTGTGTGTGTATCCATGAATCCCAGCTTTGCATCTCCATATGTGCACCTTGTCCATGTGCTCCATCCCTGCACACGTGTCCTATCCCTGTTCCCATCCCTGTTCCCCATCCCTGTGTCCCATGCTTCCACCCCATCTTTGCCCTGTGAATGCCTCTCCTTGCCCCCATCCTTGTCCCTATGCATCCCTGCACCCTATCCTTGTCCCCCCATCCATGACCCCATGCGTGACCCCATCCTTGTCCCCCATCCCTGTTCCCCCCATCCCTGTCCCCCCGTCCCTGTCCTCCCATCCCTGTTCCCTCCATCCCTGTCCCTTCCATCCCTGTCCCCCCATCTTTTCCCTTCCATCCCTGTCCCTCCCATCCTTGTCCCCCCATCCTCGTCCCCCCATCCTCGTCCCCCCATCCTCGTCCCCCCATCCTCGTCCCCCCATCCCTTCCCTCCCATCCTTGCCCCATTCCCGCATCCATGCACCCCCCCATTACCTTGTGCACCCCTTTCCCCCATTTCCCCCCATCCCATTCCCATCCCTGTGTCCCTGCCCCTCCCTGGGCTGTCCCCTGTTCCCCCGGGAGCTCCATGATCGTGTCGTTGGTCCCGAGGATCCTCCTGTAAATCCCTTTGGCTCCATTTTTTTCCCGCTTTTTTAGGGCATGTTCTAATATTCATCACTTCCCTTTCTTCCTGGGCGAGCGAGTGGTGGGGATTAATGCATTTTTGAACTTGTGCTCCTTCATCCTTTTTAAGTTGGCAGGTCATTAATAAAATCCTCCGGGAGGAACCCGGAGTTGCATCTCTGTGGATTTATTGCTGCTCCGAGTCGGACGTCGTGCAGCGCTAAGTCCTGCCCATAAAATATTCACTTCCCATTAGAAGTCTCACTTTTCTCTTTTTTTTCCCCCGCTCTCCTTTTTATTTATGTAGATTTTTAGCCCTTTCCCCGCCATGGATACCTTTATGCCAAGGTGCTGCTTTGGTTCTGGGGGCTTCCAGAGGCAAAAAAATCCACCGGTGATGGTTTTTTTGGGAGTTTGATGTGAAATTATCCCTCAGCCTCTTTTTTCTTTCTGCTTCCACAGATCAAAACCCACATCTGTGTCACCTCTGCCAGGGCTTGCTCTGGGGGGGCTCCAGCCAGGGCATCATCCTGGGTTTGGGGGCTTCCAGAGGATGTTCTCTGTAAAATCTCCTGCGGTGCTGAATTCTTTGGGAGTTTGATGTGGAGTTCTCCCCGCTCCTCTCTGTCTCCCCTGCCCAGGTCACAAGCACGTGCGTGTCACCAGCCTGCTCATCTGCCAGGGCTCGCTCTGGGTGGGCACCGACCAGGGCATCATCGTGCTGCTGCCCGTGCCCCGCCTGGAGGGGATCCCCAAGATCACCGGTGAGCCCCGGCCCTTCCCCGCCCGGGAATCCCCCGTTCCCAGGCTCGGCTGGAGCCACATCCCCGCCTTCTCCCGCAGGGAAGGGCAT